TACAATATGCAAAAAAGTAAATTAAGAAAATCTTACAATAAATATAGATGAAAAACAAGTAAATAAATAGTAACATTAGGAAAATAGAATGATAGRGTGCTCATACTAAATCCGTGAAACAAATACTAATTTTTAGCACTAAATAGTGATAACTAAACAATAGAAAACAAAGGATTCTGTATAAAATAGTACTAATTAGTACTATTTAATGTTCACGGTTTTAGTGCGTGCACTCTGACACCAGCAAATCTAATATTAAATTTGCCATAATTAATCCTTGCTTTTGTTAGATAATATGATTTTCTAAAAGCGAGCCTAGTTCTATAGCTGTGTTTTTCGTTAATAGATTCAAAAACTTCAAAAAAGATTCAAAAATCTTGGGTAGGTTACCCGAAAGGACGGTTGTAGACAAAAATTGCGTTATTATAAGTTATTATAATCATAAAATAAGGTCGTGAAATTTAATAATCTGATGTTTGATAAAGAGTGGGTTAGTGTGTTCGATATAGGCAGAGATTGTAATTAGTCGAAGAGTCTGAAGCATGCTTCCTGGTTACCTTAACTCGATTTCAGTTTTAATTATAAACTTAACCAACTTGTCGAACACTTCAGGTCAGTTCTGTAAAGACTTGTAAAGGCAAGAAAAACGAAAAGAAAGAAAGAAATCTTTCCGTGCAAGTTAAACTACACAAATTTCTTCCCCGAAGTCTGATGAGTACTTTTTCAGTCACATGTCGTTTTTGAATTTAAAAGTCAAGGCAAATTAAATTTTAAGTGATACTTCCAGGGATTCGATAGACTGAAAAACTATAAATACTTATTTATGCTCTCAGGATATCATTCAATATCAATAATGATTTTTCGAAATTTGATAGGTTCAGAGTTCCAAGAAGCCATTACAGTGTCAGAGAATGAACGAAATTGCACGAAACTCAAAGAACTTTCTTCTCAAAAAATGTCTCACAAATATTTATTAATCTAGTTGGTATTTGCCAATATTTTCATTTTGAGGGCTTGAATCATAGTCCGTGCAGCAGCTCCTTAGGCTCAAATTTTCAGCTTTAGATATCCTGGCCTAATATATGAATTGGTTGGCACTTTAATTGTCACTTTTTCTGCTCTGAAAACACACGAATAAGATAGTTAATTGTACTGCACTGTATACTGTATACTTTCATTAGTATATAAATGCTTGTACTAAAGCATGCAGAATTATGCCTGAACGATGCAAGTGCTTTTGGATAGATAGGCAAAGGTTTAATTAATAACTAAAATAATTAATAATTTGATAATGAGTTAATATCWATTAAACTACAAGTCAAGGTCGCTTGCCTTTCAAGTTCCACTTTTTTTTTGTTCTCGGTGTCAAAGCAGTACTTTGAACTCTGTATTAAAAAAAGGTTTTGGTTATCTACCCTTTCTTTCAATTATCTGTAATTTATTATAAAAGTCGATATACATCTATTTACGATATCTAATAATATGTAATAGTTATTACGAAGGCAATTGAATGATGACGTCACTAAACGGAAATTATTAGGGACGGACCATTAGACTTATGAGTGGGAGGGTTGGGCAATTTATTTTGTGCAGGAATGTTTTATTATGCCTCATGGCTGTACAGGAAATTCTTTTGAACATGATTTGGATTTTTTTTTCTGGCACGGCTTTTCTTATGCAGGATTTTTTTAAATCTTTAAAGCTGTGCTCGAATTTTTTTTTCTTTTTTCTTTTCTTTTTTTTTTTATTTATTTATTTTTTATTTTTTTTGGTTTTTGCCCAATAGTTCGTCCCTTAGCTAACTGTCTAGTTTAAAATAATTCGTTCCATATATTCATTTCTCTAAATATTATTTTTTATAAATCTGTGTCAAAATTATCGAGTCTAGATCTATGTCATGACTATAAAGGACCCAAAACTTAAGAAGAAATCTCTGTAAAGAGGCAAAATGCCACAATCTGTCATTATAATAGTCTTGTCGTCCGAGATAATAATAATATTGTAAATAATAATYGGCACGATTGGGGGTGAAGGCATTCGAACAGACTGACAGATTAATAAGACCCTTGAACACTTACCTGTCACTCAGGACTTTAGTGGCTCGTGTCAATTGAAAACTGTTTTTAAAAGACTAATTGTGAGCATAATAAATGGAGTGGAATGGTTTGGAAAMTCCATAGAATAAAGATGTTGTTTTGCGTTTGASGTTGAACCGTACCATCCCGTGATAGTGACCGTGCACAACGAACCAAAGCAAGTATGGCTGAAAATACTGATTTCCTTATTATTTTCATGGTTTGAATATTTTGAAAGTGAAA